AGGGGGGGGGGGCGGTGAGTCAAAAAGAACAGCATGCATGGCAAAGAAAGAAGCAAATCATAGATGCATAAAATAATGTTTGACCTAAAATACACACTTAGCTCTGTCAAGCAATAAAGGTGGAAAAAGGGGGAGACTCTTTGCTCGTGATTTTGTATTTACTAGTGGTAGAGTACGCGCAGTTGCACGTGTATCCCGTTCTCAATTAGTGATATATTAAAAACTATGTTTTGTGTATAAAATAAAAGGTTAAACATTAAATTAATAAATATAATGTCTATTGTTCAAGTTGAGGGGAGAATTTGATGTTTAAAGCAAATTTGGAGGTGTAAATAACTTTCACTGCTTCTTGAAAAGTTATCTTTTCTCTTTTATTTAGTTTAGAATTTTATCAATTGAAGAACCTTCGATACCTTCTTGAAAAAGTTGTTTTCCCATTTTTTTTTTATTAGGAATTTTTGGATTTTATTTTTACTTTTTGTGTAAGTGTCAAAGTCAGTGTGTGCATATCTCGATTAATTTTATCGGATGACTATTATTTACGTAACGTGTACCAAGTAAATTTGTCTATCAAGGCTTGGACATATGTGAAGAAATAACCTTTTTTTTTTTAAAATTTGTGTTAGATGTTTTATCATGTAGATCACTTTTTATTCTTCATATGTATATTTATAATAGCACTTCGTATATTTATTTTTATTTAAATTATAAATTGCTATACATATGGAGGACAATTTGAGAAAATAGAACGACCAGGGGAATTATATTCTCAAGTTGTGTACACGCGCAAAACATAAGAATCCTAAGGCGTACAGTTTGGTTCCAAAAAGGAAGAGGAATTAAGTGTGTAATTTATTTATTTATTCAGTTTGATAAGCTGCAACAAAGTTTTCAAAATAGTCTCTAAGCAAAGATATATACGGTTTCCTTCTTACACATTTTGACTGAATTACAGTCGAATTCAAATTCCTAATTATTATTCTAGGAAAAAGAATGAAAAAAACTCCTAAATATTAGGAAAATAATTAAATATTTAGTCTTGAATATTAGGGAAATAGTTAAATTACACTTTTATCTAATGTGAAGCCTATTTTAAAGGGTAAAAAGGGGGAACGACATTTCGCTAAGGGGTTTCATTCTTTTAATATAGTATAGATAGATATTGATAGATAGATATAGATTAGTCTGAGGTTACGCGCTTTGCGCGTGTTTCCCTTGTCTATAAGTAAATAACTTTTAAAAAAAAACATAAGTAGTATTAAATAATGTCTTTGAGCTATACTAAAGTGTTTTCTAATTATTGATCATAAATACTACACATTTAGAATAGATGATGTTTGCAAGTCGAAATAATTATTGAGTGTAGTTTCGAATATTATACAAAAGGTTATTATATAAATTTTAGTTGATTCAAAGCTCTAAATATTAAAAAAAAATTAACATAAAAGGTATTATAGTTATGGTATACACTCAAATAAGTAAACAATTTATTTTAGGTAAAACGTGATTGATAAATTTTAAATATTAGGATTTCACACATAATTCAAATAATAATTTATTTAATAACTAAAATTTAGTTGATTTAATTATTTCAAATAGTAAATAAATAACTAAGTTGTAATTTGAATGAGCTGTATATTGATTGTTTTTATTGTTCTTCTATATAGTTGTCCCGTATCATTTTAAAACTTGGGTTTTATATTTTACATAGTACTCACGATTTTAAAATAGTTAGAATGGGTTAATGTTATAGGCAGCAAAAAACTTAATCACATAAATATATTTTCAAATAAATAATTATATANCATACAAAATTGACTTTGGGCTATCACTACAAAGAAAGACACTCTCTGGGTGCAATGGATTCACAGCTTCTATATTAAGGGTAGAAACATCAATACTATGGAGACACCTAGACAAGCATGTTGGCTTATTAGGAAAATCTTTGATGCAAGGAAGTGGTATGGGGAAAATGACTTGTGTGAAGTTCTACAATAACTCACTCATTCTGGCAAGTTCATGATCAAGAAGGCATATAAACACTTACTTCCCCAATATCCTAAAGCTATATGGAGAAACCTTAATTTGACTCCATGTTTTGTACCAAAGTACCAATTTATTCTCTGGCTGGCACTTCAAAGGAGACTTAGTACAGCAGACAGAATGGCTAAATGGGGAATTCAAGTCCCTATGAACTGTGTACTATGCAATGCTGATACTGAAGAAACTCACACTCACTTGTTCTTTGAATGTGATTACTCCAGAAAATTCTTACGATGGATAAGAGATAACAGGCAAGTAGGGACCTGGGAAGAGGAGATTGAGAGATTAACAACCAAGCAATGCAACAGCAGAGCATATGCAGAGGTGCTAGGATGGCTATTAGCTGCTACTGTCTACCATGTTTGGAATGAACGCAATGCGAGAAGATTTCAAGAACAACAGCAGGAATGTGCATCAAGACTAAGAGAGATTACCATTCAATTACATAGGAAAGGACAATTTAGAAGCATTTAGAATAGATTACTTGATAGTTTGAACTTATACCCAAGTCTAGTATAGACTAGCAGTTTAGTAGATATATTGAGGGGAGGAGTAACTGTACTAGCGTAAAATTTAGGACTAGTTCTAGAGTCAAAAAGAACTAGTGGATGTATATATCATACTTGGTTGAATAAAATTTTATTGTTTGACCCAAAAAAAAAAAAAGTTTCAAGTTTGAGTTTTTAAATTATTTTAAAATAAAAAGCAAAAAAAAAATTACCAATAAAAAAACGAAAAAAGAGAAGAAAAACTACCCATTCAAACCGGAAAGTAGTTTCAAGTTGGAGTTTTAAATAATTTTAAAATAAAACCAAAATTAAATAAAATAATGAATTACTAATTCAAATTGGGGAGTAGTTTCAAATTGGAGTTTTAAAATTATTTTAAAATAAAAAAACGAAAAATCTATTTATATATATAATGTAATATAATATAATATAATATATGTATAATATATAATATATAATATATATAATAGGAGAGTCAAAGAAATCTATATATATATATATATAGAAAAGGAAAGATGGTTGACCAAGGGTATATATGTCATTTTATAAAATTCCATGTTTGTATTTTTAAATGCAAAATATACGTGGACCCCACATTTATCTAACCACAAGCCCACAACTCTCCTTTAAATGCATTATGCATGTGTTGATTAGATTGTTTGTGGAGTGCAAATGCTTATTTCTAATCTTTTTCTCATTTTGGAAAATTATTNTAATTTTTGAATAATACAACAACAAAAAGAAATATCGATATTTACAAGATTTTTATATTTACCCATACTATCTTAAAGCAATTTGAAAATAAAAATTAAATGATTTTCATCTATCCATACTTTTTGAAGACGATTTCAAATTAAATACTTTTATATTCAAAAGTAATTTTAAAAAATATTGCTTGTTAAATCTCAAAAATTAATTAACTAAACACCAACAAATAATGATTTTAATAAAATTGCAATGTTGGGCCCGTATACAGGCCTTTCCTCATCTAGTCTATATATATATAATAGGAGAGGCAAAGAAATGTTATAATGACAAGTGTCATAATTTCTATTAACAATATAATTATACTAAATATTGAATAATANATTTAAGATAGTATGGGTAAATATAAAAATCTTGTAAATATCGATATTTACAAGATTTTTATATTTACCCATACTATCTTAAATCAATTTGAAAATAAAAATTAAATGATTTTCATCTATCCATACTTTTTGAAGACGATTTCAAATTAAATACTTTTATATTCAAAAGTAGTTTTAAAAAATATTGCTTGTTAAACCTCAAAAATTAATTAACTAAACACCAACAAATAATAATTTTAATAAAATTGCAATGTTGGGCCCGTATACGGCCTTTCCTCATCTAGTAAACTCCATAAAAGCCAATTAGATGCTCATCTGTTCCTGTGATTCAAAGCAAGATACTTCTCTTCTCTGTATACAACAAGTGTCCTCAACTAGCCCTTTCTATTTTCTTTTCCAAATGTTCTATGTATATATAGAGAGAGAGTTCGACCATTTAGATCAAGAGTTTGAATTAAGATCCTATCTATGCCTTTTAATATAATGGTGCCACATCATCTCTCTATAGAAAAGAATTATATAGAGAGAGAAAAAGAGAAGAGAGATATCCTTGTATTATTGCGATAATGGAGAATTGAGACATGGAAAATTTTACTACACACAAGCAGAAGCAAGATTTTTATCAGAGGAATTCAAAATAAAAATAAAAATGCAAAGAAGTTAAAGAAATTCAATACCTAATATATATGAAAAAATTTAACCTTATATTATATAATATAATTTTCAGCAAAAAAAGTTCGACTGAATCCTCTCCGCTCACCTAGCTCAGACCGTGCACACTAGGGCAACTGAAATTATATAAAAATTAGACGATACTTCTGTATCCCCACCTCCAACCTTTAATCTTATACAAATAATAATGGAAAATAACTTTTAAAAAGAAAATCTGGGAAGTTACACATGAACAACTTATGGGATTGGATTAGGGATGGCAAGTGGTGCGGCGCGAGGCGGGTTCTCCCGCAACCCGCAATTTTTTTTTTTAAAGAAAATCAACCCGTCCCACACCGTCCCGCACATGCCCAAACTTGCCCCGCCTCGCATAGGCTCAAACAGTGGCGGAGCCACGTTATAGGAAGCAGTGTCAAATGACACCCATTGCAGGAAAAATACACTGTGTAGGTAGGTAAAAATATATTATATGTATATATACTATGTATTGACTCCTTTTAATTTCCTAGTATATTTACTTTTATATATTTTGACATCCTTTAACGAAAATTCTGACTCCACCACTGCGCTCAAACTCGCATCACCCCAACCACATCGCCCCATTACCATCCCTTAGATTATCAAGTCGTTGATTGGCTAACTGTTTGCTTCTTTTCTTGGCTGTGGACCTAACGAAAAGGAGACAAAGTGTAGTGCATGAGTCCACGTATGAAGTACTCAAGGTTTTATTGACATTATTATTAAGCTAATAAATAATATACTGCCATTAAAGAATTAAATTTTAACTAACAATAAAGACGTGGCATTGATCGGATTGCATCCTACAATCTCGCCTGAAGAGCCATGCAATATGTGTTGTCCCTTTACTAATTACTCTTTTTTTTTCTTTCTTAATTACTCTATTGATGAGCTGAAGTTTGTAATTTGCTAAATTGCATATTATAGTATATTTTTTCCACAGGTTAATTGCGATAATAGTGTAAATCTTTTCACACTCTTATCATATACAGTATAACTTAAATTTATTTTTATTTTATGTATGAATTTAAGTACTGTAATAAAATTTACATCACCAATACTATTAATAGCATGTTAACTAGATAGATAAAGTTACATAAAATTGTACTTTTTAACTAATCTAAGTTTTTAGACCCTCAGTACATAAATTAAAGTCTTTATATATTCATTTAGTGGCCCTTCTTTTTTCCAAAAATATATGAATGAGCATCTGATGTTTATACAGGGGTAGCAAACAGACGGGTTGGGTCGGATATGGTTCGGGCCGAAAATGGGTAATGCAGAAAACAGATAAATTATTCGACCCGACCCATATTCAATACGGATAAATACGGTCACTACTAAAAAATTTAGTTTTAGCGACAGACAAATTATGTAGCTAAATAGAGAAATCCGTCGCTAATCTCATTTAGCGACGAATTAGCAACAGATTATCAAGAAATTCTGCTAGCTACGAGCGATTTAGCGACAGATTAGTGTCGACGTTCGTAGTTAATTACAGCTTTTTTTTTAGTGTGGGTTAACCGGCGGATCATATGGATATCCATATTATCCATCTCTTTTTGAATGTGATCACTTTTGGGAGAATTCGTAGTCTCTCAAACTTGAGGAACCCCAATTTGAGGCTTTACAATTGTAAAAGCTAAATCCATTGGTCATCCATTTTCTAAATCGATAATATGGTTCATATCTATATTTGACCCGTAAAATTCATTAGTGGATAATATGGGTGGATAACTGTTTTCTTTTAGGCATTTTACCACCACTATTTACACCAATATACCATGATTAAGTGGTAAAGGACAACAAAATTTAAAAAATTTCTCCTTCTACTTTTTACTTAAATTTCTTGTCAAATCAAATATCATCTCATAAAATGGGACGGTGAGACTATTTGTCATCTTCAAAGTTGCAAGGCAGCTAATACGAATACAGAAACAAAGAGAAGGCCAACTATATTGGAGAATGATGTATTTGAATTTGAAGGTGATATTCAAAAAGAAAGAGTGGAAAATAAAGAAACGCCAATTAAAGTCTTATATATACATCAATAATACATTAAATATTTTTAGTCTATTTGTACTTTGCTTCTTATCTTGTTGAATTTACCATAGAAAGCAAACATTAATTGGTTGATTTAATTTAAAAGAGAAGGGACACGTCCCCCATTTAGTGATCATAAACAAAGGACGGCACCAAATCCCTTTGACTTAATTAATTCTTATTTTTTCCTTTTCTATTTTTCCCTTGCTTTTCTCCCTCACTATATAATACACACACACACAATCTACAAGTACTTTCTATATGGTCTGTTTTCTTTTTCACATCTCAATAAGTTCACTTGCTACTTATTTTTCTTCTCACTTTGAGTATTCTTTTTTATTCAAAAAAACCTAAAGTATATTATAATTCTCACTATGGGAAGAATACCTTTGTTTGGCTTAAAAGTTGTTGATGCACTTTGTAAGCAATAAAACAATCAAAAAATAGAGGAAGGGTAAATCGTAATCAAATATAATAATCCTAGAGATGCGAAGATGATAATGTTTGTTATAGATCCAGTGTTAGAAGGATGACAATGTATGTTCATAAGATATATTAATCGGAAGTAGAGATATAGAGAGAGAAAGATAGAAAATGAGAGAGTTGTATTAGATCAGATAGATCCCTCTTTACAATGTGGAGGTCTCCTTTATATAATAGAAGACCTTCCTCGAAAGAATCAAAAAGTTACAGAGATAGGTAACGTCTTTCTAGTGTAAACGCTGAGTTCTAAACGACGCCGCTTTCGTCCTCACGGCCGAGTCGTACCCGCTACGTTGGTCGGCGTACACTCATTGGGCGCGCCCGCTGGCGTAAAGATACTGAGGGTTAAATTTGACCCTATACAACCTTGTTGTGACAAAAGTGGACTTAAGAAAGGGCCATGGACAACAGAAGAAGATCAGAAACTCATTGATTACATTCAAAAACATGGCTCTGGAAATTGGAGGACACTTCCTAAGAATGCTGGTATTTTTCTAATTTTTTTTTCCCTTTTTCTTACTTATAATTAGTTGTAATTGTATTTTGAAGTTTTTTTTTAATTCTTTTTGTAAATATGTTTTTATATATAGGGCTTCAAAGGTGTGGAAAGAGTTGTAGGCTACGTTGGACTAACTATCTTAGGCCAGATATTAAAAGGGGGAAATTCTCATTGGAAGAAGAAGAGACAATCATCCATTTGCATAGTATTCTTGGAAACAGGTAAGTTTTTTTCCTTTTTAATTAAAATCATTTAAAAGATATATTCGTTTTTTTAGTCATAATTCATTGTTAATATTTTCTACTTTTCTCCATGGTTTGAACTATTTTCAACTTTGATATCTTTAACTAAAATCTTTCTAAAGATGTAAGATCACTTTTTGTGGTGCTAATTCATTTTTTCAATTTTCTACTTTCTCCATAACTTAGAACTTTTTCCAACTAAAGACTAGCACCCACAACCTTCAAATCCTGAATTCGTCTTTGATTAAAGTAACCATAGTAATTGTCGTAAGTGAAATTAGTAACATGAAGAAAAAAGTAAACAACATACTATAACGTGTTAAATTTTACCTTAGCGTAGAAAGGATTTTAACTGTCGACGTACATTTTTGGGTCATATTCTAGAGTTTGATTCTGACTTGTTGTATATCATTCTTGACTATAGGTGGTCTGCCATTGCTGGTCGCTTGCCTGGAAGGACTGATAATGAAATAAAAAATTACTGGAATACACACATTCGGAAAAAGCTTCTGAGAATGGGAATTGATCCAGTGACTCAAAGTCCTCGTCTTGATCTTCTTGATCTTACCTCCATTTTTAACCCTTCACTCTACAATTCATCTCAACTCAATCTTTCAAGGTTATTAGGTGTACAATCCCTAGTAAGTCCAGAAATTTTAAAAATAGCCACTTCTCTCTTTTCTTCCAATAGCCAAAACCAAAATTTCTTATTGCCAAGTAATTTTCAAGAAAATCAACTATACAATTCCCATGTCCAAAACCAATTATCCCAATTTGTCCAATCTAGCCAAATTCATACCCCTATTCAAAATATTCCATCTATTCCATTTTATGGCGAAGCTCAAGTCATGCAACAACCTAATGTTGAGCAATTCTCATCAAATATTTCTAATTTAAGCTCACAAAATTGCCAATTAAGTGAGTGGCAAAATTATACTTTTGAATCTCTTTTGTCAACTTTATCAACACCTTCATCAAGTCCTACTTCATTGAATTCGAACTCAACATGCATCAAAAGCAGCAGCACAATTTCTGAAGAAGATCAGAGGGAAAGCTACTGCAGCAGCATGTTGAACTTTGATATTTCAAATAGTTTGGATGTTAATCATGATTTTTTGTAATTTACTTTTTCATATTGTTCCACTCAAAAATTTGGAAAAAAGGTATTTCTTGTCCACTTAGCCTTGGACATATTGTTGTTTCCTTTATTTGTTAAAAAAACTTATTAACTTCAGTACTGCCTGAGTGGAAATGGTCATTCTTTTGTTTTTTTGCTTCAAATTAAAAGGTCTCCATACAATATGAATATCTTGTCAAACTTTGTATCACTTATTTTTCCCTTTTATTTTTAAATGATTATTGAGCTAAGTGTCTATCAGAAACAGGTTCAATTCTCTATTTTCGAGGTAGGAATAGTGTCTGCATATGCATTACGTAATTTTTTCCACACCCAGTTATGGGATTACACAAAATTTGTTGTTCTAATGAAATGGTGTTCAAAAAGATTGAGAAGAACATGAAACATATAAATCAAAATAGAAGAGTTCAAAAGAGAAAGAAAAGATTGTGCATGGATAGAGACGTTGATGATGCCTGTCTCAACTAGTGTATCCACGACTTTCCATAACCATCAATTTCGTCTTCCTTTTTTTTTTTAAAGAATTTCTTTAACACATTAATTATTACAAACAAAGGATTCTATAATCTATAAGTTTTGTAGTGGCTAGTCATCTTTAAGAATATTAAGGAAATGATATTTTGATATATAATAATCTCTATAGATAGACAGATCACGAAACCAAACTCACACATCAAAGACTTTCCTTATTTATGCATTATTATTTAAATAATAAAGTGTCCGTTGTTTAATATTTTTATGTAGGCTGTTTATATCTCACTGGATAAGTGAGTACTCTATTCATACCCCAACTGGAAGATAATCTTCTAAAAATAGAAGTATGAATAGATTAATGTTTAATAATTAGATGGTAACCTTGATCCCAACAGTCAAGACACCGGAGACAACGCCGCCGTGTACGGTGGCTGGAGATTAAGAAGGTGACACTATTTGACCAAAAAGTGTTGAGCCTTTTAGTTAAAGTAATTAATGAAGAAAATAGAGGATAAATCCTAGCCAAGAATAATTAACTCCAGATCTAAGTGTAATGAATAAAAGAATCATAGCAAAGCTTGTAGCTCGATTCAAGATTATTAAATGACATTAAGCATGATAATAAACTTACATTTTTGGAGTATCGTCCCGTAATGTAAGAGCAAAGAAGGAAAAGAAAAAATGTCATCGATGACTATGAGATCTATATTTATTGATTTGACAATCATAGTTACATAGATTTTCCTCCCTATCTAAACCCTTTCATGGTTTTCTTTTTGCTGTTCTCCTTCTGGGAGAGAAAAGCCCCCCCTTCATGTCTTCGCATCTCCTATATATATTCTCAGTATTCCCTTTTGTCCATCGGTCCTTAACCAGAGAGCCTTCATCCCTTGACTGTCTTTCACATCGTCTCCCTCAACTACCATGACATTTTCTTCGCCATACAGGCTTCTTGGGGGCACGATCTCGGCGGTTACATCTAGTGGGTATGACTACGACTTAGTTAACCTCTTACCATTCCTGTTAACGCTAATCCATGTGTGGTCAGATTTTGACCCATACATTTAGTCCCTCCGCCAATTAGGGTCGCCTATTGGCGAGCTCGACGGGCGGACCTTGTTGATTCCAAAGTGGAAAAATCTGAGCGCTTTATGCGAGGGGCGAGAACCTTATGGCGGGGTGGCGACGTGACGCTTCGAGAATCATGTCGGATCGTTACGTCAATTCAAGATTGGACCGTCACATTAGTTCAGGATGTCATCAATGTTCCTCATGTGTCATTATGGCGCACGTTTTCTAGGCAGTGTCTTTTCCCGTGCCCTTTCCGCTTTCTAATTGGGGACTCTTGATTTTCCCGCTCAGGACACTTATATCCCTATAAATAAGGAGGGAGATTCTCATTTGAATGTTGTATTTTTCAATTGCTTAAGAGAAAATTTCACAAGTCTTCTCCTTTTTCCTTAATCTCTCATATCTTTGCTTCTGCTAGGGTTTGCGGTGACCATTATCTTTTTCATTTATTATCTTCACTTCTTTTGATTAACGAAAGAAAATGGCTAGTACTTCTTCTGGTAGAGCTGTAGGTGCTCCGGTACCAGAGAATGACGCATCCCTACTCGAAGAGGGAGTGGAAGTGGTGGAAGATGAGGGGTTTCCGACAGTGGATGAGGTGGTTCCCCGCCCAGGGAAGGCGAGGACCGATTTTAACAGCCCTTCTGGAAATGAACCGGAGCCTGTACCTTCCACGATGGACGCTGCGGCGATTGCCGCGTTCAAAGCCAAATGGGGGATCCCCGACCATATTGAAATGGCGTCCGCAGGTAAGGATATAGTGCATTTACATCGCCCGGGCTACTGCATTTTACGCGTATCCCGTTGTCGTCGGGTACACTCTTCCCCTTCCTTCTTTGGTGGTTGATTTCTGCCATTTTTATGAGGTGTGCCCGACTCAATTCTCCCCCTATGCATATAAGCTCTTCCTCATGCTCCTCAAGTATGCAAAACTGGCCGGCCGAGGAATTTCTCTAGGACATATGCTCCACCTCTTCGCCCCCTATTTTCTTCGGTGCACGACGATTCACATGCGCCATCGAGGAACTAAGAGCTTGGTGGTGAAGATGGACGACAAGACCAACCGCTGCTTCTGGGAAAACTACTTTTACGTTCGAACGGAGCATATTGTATCGAACCAGGCGGGGTTTCCCGAGACGTGGAATTTTGCTCGTAAGTTCTCCTTTTTGTTTAATTCGTGCAAATTTCTTAAGATGGATATCAGTTGTCCCCCCTTAAACGACTTCGTTGAGGGTTCGCTTTTGTCTTTGTAGCTGAGAGACTACCTCCCTCACTTGTTGCCAATATCCGTGAGTGGGTGAGCGCAATTCTCCCCCACACGGTGGGGATTCGCGAGTGGGCGTCCTTCCATGAGAAGTTTGGGCGCAAGCCACTTACCGGTGATTTGGTTCGATGTGGTTCTGCTTTGTTCTTTACTTCACATTTTTTATCTCTTCGTTATGTTATCAAATCTCTATTTACTGACAGGTCGGAGAGGAGTGAGAAGGACGAGGGCTCCTCCGCTTGTGTTCCGTGAGGATGTTCGAGGAGGGCTTTCCTCGAATTGTGGTAAGGGCGGAAGGGCCTTCAGGTATACTTGAAATTCCGACAGATCTTAACCTGTTGCAAGACATAGTGGACTTGGTGCCACAATTTGATCTTTTGTGCTCCGCTGCTGAGAGCGGATCCCTTCAGGAGTTCAACGATTTTTGAGCTGTCGCGTGGTGTGGCCACGATGGCCTTGAGGGCGAGTTCGCTTTTGACTCTTTTTTTTGTTTTGTGACCTTTGTCTTTGCATTGACTCATTCTCTCCTTTCTTGTTTAGAATACATGCTAGAGGTCGAGAGTGCTCGAGGGCTGAGACGCGGGCCAAGATTTTCTTAAAAATGGTCGAGAAGTATCGGCGATATCGCAACAGGTGCCGCGAGATGCATGAGCAGCTCAGAGCGGGTGCTAGTACCCAGTCCCTCAGGGAGGGGTTGGAGAAAACAGATCAGGAATTGATGCGGTCTATTCGCAGATGCAGTGAGCTTGAGAAGCTGCTCCATTCCAAAGACGAGGAGCTCAAGGTGGGCAAAGGGGTTGCCGCGGAGTGCGAGGACTTTCAGGCGAAGGTGTTATCTTTACAAGCCAAACTTGAGAAAAACGCTACCAGTGTCGAAGCTTTGAGCGCATAATGGATGGGGAAGTTGGCCGAGCTGGAAAGGAAAGTGGCAGAGATGGAAAAAGCCGAGGATGCTCGAGTGTCGGCTTTGGCGAGAGCGGCGGCGCTGGAGCACACTATTCGCGTCCTCAAATATGAGCAGGAATCTGAGAGGCAAACGGCCACGCTGAGGGAGGCGCGGCTCGAGGAACGTATTGGTGAAATTGATTGGGAGGCTTCGATCCTGGGAGAGCGGGTCATGGCTCTTGAGGCCGAGAAGGCGCAACTGTTGGCCCAGGCCGAATTTGCCTCTGCTGCGGTCCCTCGCTGCTTGTATGAGCTATGGGTCCATGTCGAGGCCCAACGAGATATATACAAGGGCTTATGAGAGGCGGGGAGTGTTCCTGAGGACGCCTTTGAAGACTCTCGGGCGAAGGCACGCGAGGCTCGTATTTCCTGCGGTTATGACCCTGCGACACCGGAGGTGCGTGAGGACGTTGAGGATGAGAATGGGTTTTCTGATGATGAGGACACTTGAGAGAATGGCGGTGGAGATGACGTCGAGTGAAACTTTGTTGCAGCTTTGTACTTAGTTTTTTTTGTTCCTTTGTCATTTATTTTTACCTTTTTTCTGAGGGTCCGTTTCGGCCTTTTGTAAGGCGCGACTGTTGCGCACGTATACTTGAATAAAATAGTTGCTTCCCTTTGTTTGTGTATATTTTGACTTTCCTTTTCCTCCTCTTCTGTTTCTTTTTTTTCTATTTTCGGACTTCTTCGTGACGAGTTCATGTCCTCTTAATCAGGAATACGAACGAGGTTGAGGTTAGACTCGCCAACTTGGACGAAATCAGTCTTGACTTATATGTTCGAATGAGGTCGAACTTAGACTCGCCAACTTAGGAAAAATCAGTTTTGACTTTTATTTCGAACGGGGTCGAACTTAGACTCGCCAACTTGGGCGAAATCAGTTTTGACTTATATGTTCGAACGAGGTCGAACTTAGACTCGCCAACTTGGGCGAAATAAGTTTTGACTTATATGTTCGAAGGAGGTCAAACTTAGACTCGTCAACTTGGGCGAAATCAGTTTTGACTTATATGTTCGAACGAGGTCGAACATAGACTCGCGAACTTGGGCGAAATCAGTTTTGACTTATATGTTCGAAGGAGGTCGAACTCAAACTCTCCAACTTGGGCGAAATCAGTTTTGACTTATATGTTCGAACGAGGTTGTATTTCTTACATTTGGCGATGGCCGATGGCCATAGGGGTGTTAATTCGAGCGAGGTCGAAATTGTAATCAGTTGTGAATTCGAG